CTCTCTATGCTGAAGAAATTTAAGAAGTAATTGCTACTATTTCAGCATTTATTAAGAACACTTCCTATGTTAATAGCATGAAGTGAAATCTTAAAGTACAGCAGTCAAACATGACAAACATGGAAGGAGATATGCAAGCATGATCTATAAACAGAGCACGAGATTACTTATCTGGAATAAGTCTCTCCCCTTAATACACCTAAAGCGGCCTCCACCTGAAGACAGCCAGTAACAGCCTCAGAAAACGATTCACACTAAGCTTAGCAGAAAGCATTCCTTTTGAAGGAATGAGTCTGCCCTAGGGCTTTTGTTTGGCGTAGAATTACACTTGAGATTAGGATTTAGGAATATAATCTATGGAAAATTTAGTCTGATGATCACAGTATAGGAAACATTTTATGGGAATTTCAGGAAGTTTGGCAGCAGGAACATTGGAAAACAGATACACAACAACTGCTACTTCCTGAGGACTAAAGATAGAAATTTAGGAGTAGATCATTGTCTCAGCGCAAAAAATCAGTGTCTCCATTTGACTCTCTTCAAAGGAAACAAAGTGCCACAGAAAAAGTATGGGAGAAAAGTATCCTTTCTTTCCTATTGCGAGGTTAGGATGACGATCACTGCAGCACCATTCCTATTGACAAGGGAAAACTGTGGCATACTCGCTTGATTCAAGTTTTATGTGCCGAGGGAAGCTTCAGGTACAAACACCTAAAGAAACAGGGCAAAGTATGTTTATAGACACAAGGAAGTGATAAGAAAAGCAGCAGCATTCTGATCTAACAGTAATAAACCAAGGTAACTTATGGAGGCCTGCTTGTTCAGTCTTCACAGATAGCCAGCAAAATGCAGGGCCCTTCTGGAGGAAGTGTATTATGTCTACTTTTGGGGTAAGAAGTTCAGACAGTTCTGTCATGGACTATTTCAGGGGAGGCCTGTGGAAGAAATCTAGAGAGTGACCATCCTCATCCCACAGTTTTCTCAGTTTCTTTCATCTTAAACGGTTCCAAAGGACAAGGGCAACACATTCTAGGTGCTATCAATAATGGCAGAATCCAAGATCATGAAGTAGATACATACTCCCTGGAGATTAAAGAAACAACAGAAAAGAAATAAACATATGTAAACAAGCCAATGTGTAAGAGACAACAAAGAATAACTTGACAGGAGTATAGCTAGGGAACAGGACAGGGAGCATGATGTTCACCGGAGCAGGTAGGTGGATGTGAGGGAGGGCCTGAGTAGCAGAGAGAGAGGAGAAAGAGATTCGTTCTCAGACCTGCAGGATGCCCACATCACTGCAATAATCACCTGGTGCCCGGCAGCGGGCTACTTTTAAACTCAAGAAGGAAACCTAATAATCAATTGTGAAATAAGAGGTCACTTTTTACTTCAATATTTCCTTTTCCTTGTTACATGGGTCTTACTGAGTAAGCCAGGCCACCCTGTGTGTTGCTAGGCAGACTCTAAAGCCTTGGGGGGTGCGGGGAGAAAACCTGAAGTGCCATCATGTTCAAGAGGCTAACTCAGTGGTGTGCCCTCATTAACAACAACAACACTGCTTCAGGGAAAGAGACCACTAGTGGGCTTATTGCTATTACCACCTAGCATGAGCCAAAAGTGGAATAGAACCTAGACATCAGTTATAGCACTGAGAATCTCACACACAGGCAAAGAAAAAAGGGACAGGCTCACAGCAGGCTGACTAGCCTCCCTTTACAATACGTAACGGTGTGTTTCCAAACACGAGAGGCTACAAGTCTCGCCCAGAAATTCCCGATTGGGGCAGCCAGATGCTGAAGGCGCTGGTGTGTCCCCTAGAGAAGCTGCCAGTGCAGAAGGACCGGGTTCCAAGCATCCTGGTCACAGGAACTCTATCACTGAGCTCCTTTGTCCCCGGGAAGTAAGAAAGCCGAGAAATAACAATCCCCTGAAAAGAACCAGACTGTGCATATTTCTTAATAATGATGGGGATCCCTGCATTGTGTCCACTGCATTATGAATTAGTAATTTTATTACAATAACAGCTGGGATTCTTCCTGGTGACGGCTGTGTTGTTCAGCTGACTCCCAAGTAAACTTTCTTGCAAGTCAGTGTGAAGATTACAATTTGATAACCACAAATTACACACGGTAGAGAGGAGGACTTGATACAACACAACAGTTAAGAAAAGCTCAGTGTCTACTGCAAGGAAGGGCCGTGTGTGTGCGTGTGTGTGTGTGGTGTTTGTGTGTGTGTGAACTTTTCTTTCTGTGTTATATCCCACAAAATATGTGAGTTGACCCCACACATTAGCACTGGAAAAATTCTGTGACCTGGCTGAAAACAACAGAAAGATCTTCAAAACATAATATGTTTATATAAAAGTTAAAAAATATGTAATTGTTTATGGAAATCAGCTTAATCTAAATAATGCAGATTATAGTACTTACATCAGTAATTTGTACATAGTGCTTTATATTTTATATCAGTCCACTATCAGCACCATTAAAGCTAACAA